TGTCATCCACTGTTTTCTTTCCTAACACACACACACACACACACACACACACACACACACACACACACACACTCCTGCTGTTATGGCGCATGTTAATGCTGGAGGGAAAATCTGGAGGAACTTTCCGTTTTCAGCTGGAAGTTAAACATGCAGTGCAGTCTTTCCACAAGTTTCTCAGCAGTCAAGTCAGCATAAACTCAGAGCACAGTGAACGGCAGAGCACAACAAATCTTTTATTTACAATCCTGCAATAATACAAAACAAAAACTCCACGATGGTGTCTTCATGACATGGTATTTGAATATGCTAATTGATCAGTAAGATGGTGTATATGATTGTGCGAAATATTCAGTGTGATGGTATATGGTATGCAAATCATTCAGTGTGATAGAATATGAATGTGCAAATTGTTCAGTAATATGGTGCGTATGAATATGCATATAATTCAGTGAGATCATGGCGTATATGAATATGCAAATTGTTTAGTGAGATGGTGTATATGAATGTGCACATCATTTCGTGTGATGGTTTATAAATATGCAAATTGTTCAGTAAGATGGTGTATATGAATATGCAAAATGTTTAGTGTAATGGTGTAAATAAATATGCAAATTGTTCAGTGAGATGGTGTGTATCAATATGCAAATTGTTCATTGTGATGGTTTATGAATATGCAAATTGTTCAGTGAGATGGTGTGTATCAATATGCAAATTGTTCATTGTGATGGTTTATGAATATGCAAATTGTTCAGTGAGATGGTGTGTATGAATATGCAAATTATTCAGTATGATGTTTATATGAATATGCAAATCGTTCAGTGTGATGGTTTATGCATATTTAATTTGTTCAGTGAGATAATGTTTAAGAATAGTTCAGTGAGATGGGATGTGAATATGCAAATTCTACATTATGATGATGTATATGAATGTGTGAATATGCAAATCGTTCAGTGAAATGGTTTATGCATATGCAATTTGTTCAGTGAGATGATGCATATGAATATGTGAATTGTTCAGCAAGATGGTGTTTATGACTGCATTGTTCTGTGTGATGGTTTATGCATATGCATATAAGGATGATGATATGGGCTATATGAATATGCAAATCGTTCAGTGTGATGGTTTATGCAGTTTGTTTAGTAAGATGGTCTTTATTAGTATGCAAATTATTCACAGTGATGGTTTATGAATATGCAAATTGTTCACTGTGAGGGTATATGAATATGCAAATTGTTCACTGTGATGGTTTATGAATATGCAAATTATTCAGTGTGATGGTGTAAAAGAATCATTCAGTGTGATGGGATGTGAATATGCAAATTCTTCATTAATATGGTGTATATTAACGTGTGAATCGTTCAGTGTGATGGTTTATGTATATGCAAATTGTTCAGTGAGATGGTGCATATGAATATGTGAATTGTTCAGTGTGATGGTGTATAAGAATCATGTAGTGTGATGGGATTTGAATATGCAAATAGTTCAGTAAGATGGTGTAAATGAATGTAAGTTAAACAACATTAAAACACGTTACTGTAGTAAAACCTCTGAGCATTAGCGCATGTCACTCTCTTCGTGCATCAAACCTCACGTGAGCAGTCTGAAATCTGAAACCTGCTTTTCTCTGTTAAAGCCAGACTTCCAGAAATCATGCATTATTGTTGCTGTGTGAGTGGATTTCTGTGGTTGTGGTTCAGACGTGTGTGTGTGTGTGTGTGTGTTCCCCTACTCAGCAGTTCCTGTGTGCGCCTGTAAAACTCTACAGGAAAAGCCTCATTTCCGCACGCTGATGTGAATCTGAGGGAAACGTTTGGCTCATTCAGCTTTAGACACCCCGAACTCAATCAGTGTTTCAGAACACACACACACAACACAAGACAACACATCACAACACAACACAGCACAACACAACACAGCACAACACAGCACAACACAACACAACACAGCACAGCACAACACAACACAACACAACACAACACAACACAGCACAACACAACACAACACTGCCGGCATGATTCACACACTTTACTCACAAACACTGTGTGTGAAAACGTTTGTGTTTATTGGTGGTGTTTGACAGACTGTCTGAGGATCCTGAGTCACTCAGTAATAAGAATCACTCACTATGACGGTGTATGAATA